GGCCTTTCAAATGACATTCTCTTCTTCATGAGGGAGACAGAAAGAGTACCCACAGGTAGTCTTAAACTACTTAGGGGGCAGTGTTCTAACATACTTTACCAACCTTAGGTATGTAATCCCCAGCTTATTCTCGAGAATCAATTACTACCTTTGTTTTTCTAGAATTGCAAGTTGTGTATCTGTTATTCACTAAAAAATTACAAATAAATAGGTCCAGAAAAATTTGCCTTTATTTTCTTGAGTAAATGATTGCTCGGCTTCAAGTTCTAAACTGTGTCACGCATATTTTTTATTTAGTGAAAGTCTCTGATTTGTTACTCGTTAATTTGCCTTTACTGGTTCAGAAATTCCAGTTTCAACCATGTCACTTGTCCTTTTCATTGAGTGCAAGAACTTGAAGTTTCATATCATTCTTTCACTAAAATAAGGCAAGTGATCTAATTCAAACATTGAAGTTCCTAACTAAATCACTTGTGTCCTTTTAGAATGAAGGAGTAATTCTAAACATCATGTTATGAAACCAGTTAGTAAGGTGGCAACTTTATACTATAGAAGTAACGGGCATCTTAAAAATTTAGTACAAAAGAGTTCTAAAGTTGGGGAACCTTCCAATTGATAATCTCAAACTTGAGATATATGAATATAAACAAAGAAAAAGAATTTTAAGTTCTAAAAATAATGTATGTTGTAACAAGTTATGTTTATTTTCAAGATTGTCAAGTGTTTATAAATCTGTTTGATTTACACTCTTTTTGGAAATTTAAATTTTATAATTAGGGTTGTACATGGATTTTAAACCATTGTAAGGTTTCCGATACTAGAAGTCCATCTTCAGGCAAATTTTAGAGGTATGTCTTATTTGTATAGTATATAAGGTGGGCACCTTATACAAACTTCATCCGTTGTAAAGATTGTAAGAGATATTTACAAAAAGTTCCCCCTCAAATATAATACAAATTTTTTTTTTATTTCTTTTTTGATAATGTGTAATATGAAAGTATATTAGTATAGTCCAAGGTCTATAAATTCGATGATTTGGATCGAAATCACCCAATCAGGATTGGGAATCTTCGATGGTGATCCAGTTCACGTCATACATCAGAAACGGAAACCAACACTGGATAATCCAGTTCACGACATACATCGGAAACGAAAACCAACACTGGTCAAATCTTTGAAAAGGAAACCAACATTGATCTGAAACGGAAACCAACATTAGTCAAATCTTTGAAACGGAAACCAACATTGGTCTGAAATGGAAACCAACACTGGTCCAATCTCTGACAAAACTAAATGATTCTATTAGAAACCACTTGGGTAATTCAATTTTTGAATTTTTTTGACAAAACTAGGTGAGTCGATCGTAAACCACACACGCTAGTAAGTGTGCACACGCACACGCTCATCAACTCATGTCGTATTGTGTGAGGGTTTTATAGATGTTTTTGCTTCATTCAATCTGACAATCTAGTCTGATTTCTTCACCACCACACAAAACAAACTTTGGGGCCAAAATTTTCATTCGGAAACTGTGGGTCTCTCTCCACCCCCTTTCCTTACTCTTTCCATTGGCTTCTCTCTCCCCTTAGGATCTCTCTCTACAAACAATCAATTCCACTAAAATTGTATCTCTCTTTCTACTAACAATCTCTTCCACTAAATTTATTTCATGTAGCTTCTTTAAAAAATCCAAACTCCTAAGTTAATGCAAAATAAAAATAAAAATTGAGAGATTCATTTTATTATCATGTTGCATTTTTAACTTTATTTTGACTATAAAATGAATTTAATAGATAACAAATACTCAATATGAGACAAGTTCTTAATATTTACATATTTTGACACAATAATAAAAAACCATAATGCAGTTGTCATTATTTCTTTTAGACACCTAAAAAATTAGATTTTTGAGAAATTATAGTGCCTTTTTTAAATTTTTTTGAGATTGAGACCAGTTGATCCGGCCTATTCTACGATCCAAATCACCGATCCGATACGATTTTTAGAGTGACCGATCCAAGTCCCCGATCCGTTTTTGTGAACCTTGGTATAATCCATCTAATAATAGAAATTTTGTGGTGCAATGTTCAACACCGTTCAAATGATGTATGCACGGTTATACATAGGGATCGGCCAAACGAACACGATGTCCTAAATGCTAGGTCCTGCTGACTCTTTACGGCTGTCCATATATTGATTGGACAGTGATGGCCCATATGATCGCAGGTTTTATATAGTCACATGGATCATGGTAGTGTACAGTGCAGAGGTTAAATCGTCAGCTCATTTCTCTTCCTCTATCTCACCTGCAATTACATGGGGCTTGGCCGAGTCTATGGGATGGAGACGCAAAGCCTCTGACGTATCGAAATTCAGGGCACATAGATCTTTCCAAAATTAGGGTTTTTCAGCTCAGAAAATGGCCTCCAATGGGAGCCCCACTGTAAGTTCCATGTTTTGATTTCATGGTTGATTCTCTCTTTGTTGATTTTCATGGTTCTCTCTATCTGTCTCAGATTGCTACAATTTTTAGTATTGATGGGTTTACTGCTTTGGGTAAAGGCTTGATAACGTTGATATTTTTCTAGAATTTCAAATTCATGGGACTTCTAGTTTAAGTTTTTCCTTTCATTGGTTTGATAAGATTCTTGATAATTTTTCTATTGTCTACTAGTTGAAGGTTTCATGAATTCGTGGATATTTTGGATTCGTTTCTTTGAAAATTTTGATAGGCTTTAGGTTTTCCATTTTGATTTACATTGTTTACTTTGATTTATTTGGAAATTTTGGACACATTAAGCAGTTCTTTCTCAAGGTTTTACTTTTTCAAAATTGAGGGAGTTTTATCTGATTTCAAATTGTTGTATGAATGTATGATAACGTTATATTGTATCAGTTCCTGACCTGCTAACTTCAGTCCCCTGACTAAATTTTTAATTTTGAGAATTCTCTTAATTTTCTATCTGGACCTTTTGGAATCTTGGTTCTTTTTTTTATTTGATGTTTTATGTGCAATTGCACTTTAATTTCTTGTTAAACCAATGAAAGCTCTGTCTAATTTAGGCTGGAAGAGTCAGTGAAACAGAGAACAGTCTCGAGAAAATCAAGCGTCAACTGACTTCTGGTTCGGGAAGGACCTTGTTGCAGGGTCCCCTTTACAAGCGATCAGAGACTGTATGATGTTCCCTTCTTCTTATTTCATCATCTGTTTTCCTTTTCTTGGTTGATTTCTTTCTCTTTTAAATAAATAAGTTCAATTAGAAGGGCAATGCACTGCATTTTTCTGGTTTATATGAAGTTGAGCTATTGTAATTTTATTTTTAAAATGGACACAATGGGTGGTTGAATGATGTATCAGAAATTGGATACGCTCTCAGGATACTAAGATTTTACGTGCTCATTTCAGCATTAAAGCCATCATAAATTATTTTTAAGCTAAAATCTCTGTCCAAAACCTTCTCTTTGCATAAGATTTTACATTCTATTTTCTTGTTACCCCGTTTTAGGCTTTTTGCTAAACCATTTCTCAAAATTCCATTTCCTACTGTTCAAAAACTTTGCTAGGTGTACTTGGTAGTTTGATTGTCAATTTCTTGTGATGTTTGTTTGTACTAAAGTATGTTTTCATAAGAGCTGTAGATCTGTCCTTCAGGCAGCTGGTAGTTGTATTTAAGGATTTTTAAATAGCTGGTGTTGTATCTTCAAAGAATTCAAAATTAAGGTTAACTAGGTTCTGTTGTTGACCTCTCACTAGGTTAGTTTCACTATTTGCATCTTTCTCTTCATGCCATTGAGCGGGGGACTCAATATTGTCACTAGAGTAATTAAGACTAGATGTAATGATCAATCGTCAATCATCTTATCATGAGATCGAACCCATAACACGCCATATTTGTGCAAAGTTACCAAAATGTGTATATGCAATTAAAATGTGTGAATGATGTACCCCTTGATTATTCATAAAGCAAAAATTTATGTACCCCTTGATTGTTACCTTGACCTGGAGGCAACTGTCAGTAGTCAACATTTGTTTGGGTTGGGGTGTTTGTGTGGTGGGGGGTGGAAGTGGAGGTTGTTTTTTTTCCTTTTGTTTTTTGGGTGGTGGTGGGGGCAGAAGGGGGGGTTGTTGTAGTCATGAAAACAAGTATTACCATATAAAAATCAAATCCATATGCTTTTGGATACTTCCAATGATGTGTTTAATAATTACAAGTATTTATAACAGAAATAAAACAGCCAGGGCAGTAGATCTGCATGTCTTCGCACTTTCAGGTTTCAACCAAGTTTCTTACACTTAAGGGAATTGTCATTTGAACATATTGACCTGTTATGTGAAATATATGACGCTCCTACTGAGCGATGATTGTATTTATGGACACTTCCAACAAAGTGTGTGACATAGAAACACAATGCATTTGATGGAAGTTTTTGACTTTTGCAAGCACGTCAGCTGTTAGGATACATCCAATGAGTGTGTGGAACAATTTCATATAAATGTCGCCAGTGTTAATATGGAGTGTTCATAGGCAGAGCAGACAAGATCAAACGAAGTAGATGGTTTGGAGTCAAAAAAGTACAGCAAGATACTATTCAAACTTATAGGAAGCAAGGTTTGATACGGAAAGGATTACAGATATCAAATAATTGGAAAAGATTTATGCTGAAAGCATATTGGGCAAAAAGTACCAGTTGAGTAGCATGAAGCGTGCATATGCATATGGATAGTGGGGCTTGCTTATGCCTGATACACTTCTTGTCATTGTGTTAAGCATGTGACATCATGCGAAGTTTCATAGCTCTGGGCCGGATTAGGTTAAATTCAGCTAGAAAGAATCTGCCAATCTGTTGGATGGCCATGAGATATAGTTATGATGCACCCATTGTGAGGGAAAATAAGTGCAACACGTTTTGGGATTAAGTTTTCCAGTAAAAAATTGGATTCAAGATCTTTAAAGCTTAAGCACATGATAGACATTTAAAAGGTTGGGATCTAGTTCTAAGAAATCTATGTGCTGCTTTAGATGCATTAAACTTCTACCACAAGCACTAGGTGCAGTGTAAAAAATAGCTGATGGCATATTCATTTGTCAAGCATATGCGATTCCTTGTGAATCAATACTCTATGGGACAAAAACACTCTCAAGTTGCAAGAGCAAGAAGATTGATATACAATTAAGTTTTCTGTAGCAGGAAGATGCACAACATGGTACTGAAAGTAATTTGAAACAATGCCCTTCCATCAAGTTGGAGAATCAATTTTTATCATTATTTACTTTCTTATTAGTTCATAGAACTCGTCCTTCCCTGGGGTTTCTTTATGGATGGAGTAAAGAATAACCATTTGCCATAATTGACCATCCTGTTGCCCATGTCTCTTGATGCTTGGCACATGCCCTGCTATTCCTTTGTAATATTTTAGAATCCAACCTGGACCATCGTAAAATTGAGGCATGACTAGCCACGTTGAAGGCCATGTCATCTAAATTGAGTGAAAGGCACAACAGCATCACATGTGCAACATTTTTAGGCATGATCAATTGCCTTTTTGTCATTCAACACTTTCTATATTGTTGGGATCGGCCGTGGAGTTGCTCTAGGCACAAATAAACCTCCAATCAAAAGAATTTTCTTCTCTAATTCCTGGGCTTCCCTCATTCGTTCTCTTCCTCTTCCCTAATTCACCGTTATATCTCATCTACTAGCTTGCCTTAGCACAAACCCTTCTGTGACTAAATTTGCAATGAGCCAGAAAATGTGGGCTTCTTCACATCCTTTGCAATGGGCCCTTACCATGGCATCCTAAGTTTCCAACATCCCTCTTCCTCATTTGGGTTTCATATGCTTACAGCAATCTATCTTACATTCTATGGGGTTGCCAGAGGGCAAAGGATCTGGCATTATGATTGAGTTTCCCAATAAGTATTGTTCATTGTGGGCCATGCGATTGAATCAGATTGTTTTTATACTGTTTACTCTTACTCATCTTTTATCACTTCTAACGAAGTATTCTGGGTTACATGATCCTCTTGTGGCCTGCAACTTGCAGAATGTTTTGAATGTAAATTGTGTGTGTGGGTGAATGGATTGGCATCTTGCTTTGGGTCAATGAGCAACTGAACAGGGGAAAAGAGGCGGGGGGGGCGGGAGGGGGCAAAGAACAAAAAAAAAGAAGAATGGAATCAACAAGCTCTAAAGCTGTATCTCATGATAAATATTGAGTACTTGTTTCTAGATATGCTTCTAGGCTTATATGATAGCTTGGGGACTTGAGGACCTTTAGCCTCTTAAGTTATTTATGTCTTTTAATATTGAATAACAAACATTCCAACTCGAGTTGAAGTTGAATGTATTTTTATGGATTAGTTTGCTTCTCATACTCTTAAGACGTTTGCGAAGCATGTGACCTTCTCATGTATTTTGATTGCGATTTCTTTTCTTAACTTTTGGAACCAGTTGTGGAAATGGAACGAGCGATGGGTGATATTAGATCCTACAACAGGGAAGATGGAATACAAGTAGGCTGTTCCCTCGTATTCTTTAATAGTAATACTTGGATTTTTTTGGTGAAGTTATAGGCCTTGTAACCATGTTGTGAAGTCGTATGAAAATTTAAGAACTCACACATATGCTATCTTTAATATGCTGTAGGATCCGAAGAAATGAAACAACTATAAAGGGAACTATAATATTTGATGCCAACAGCTCAATTACTCTGTCCCCAGTGAACTTCCAGTAAGATCAGTTGGTCTTCTTTCTTGTTTAGAGTGTATTATATTTTACATATTATGAAATCTTAGTTTTTCATCTTGTTTTATTATGATATGTGATAAAATTTTACCCATTTGTGGAACCTTTTTTCCTTCCAATGTTGCAGGGGCTTGCCAAAGTATGATGGCTGCTGTTTTTGTATCCAAAATCCTCCCTTGTTTTCTATGGTTTCTTATGATTAAATTAACTGAATTGTTCAATTTTAGTTGTTACCAGATACATAATTATTTTTTTACATGCCTTGACTCTTCTCGCTAGATATTGGTACACCCCAGAAAAAGGAATATTTTCTCTGTGCAGAGACTCCTGGTGCAGCAAGAGCTTGGGTATCCACCTTGCAGTAAGCTTTATTCAACTTAACTTGATGCTATGTTTCCATTAAAATCTCTCATTAAACAGCTGCAAGCTCTTTGTTCAAAGGCACATCTCACATAATGCACATAGGCATTTGAATAATCACAATTGCCATTCAAGCTTGCTTATGCCTGGTTATGTTTTATGTATGATTTACTTTTTCTTTTATTATGCCCTTCCTTTTCCCCATCACAAGTTTCTTCGACATGAGAGATATCATTTCAATGTATATGGTCCTTTGGGAAGGGAATACTAGCTGTGTGCTGGTACTGGCTGTCTCTGTAGTTGGCCCAAGGTATCTTGTACTGAGCATAAGTAGTCATTTGGGCCACAAATATGTTCACTGTTTGCTGGAAATTGTTTAGATCGCATAGAAGATAGGGGACTATTTTCTGTGTTTTTTGCAAGACATCTTTTGTCAATAGCGATTACTTATTTGTGTGTTTTATCTTTTGATTGATTGCATCAAGAATATACTAAGTTTAACAAGTGTATTCTTGTAACATTTTTCCTTTTGCTAGCATAATCCCCATGGAGTCTCTGGGTTATATTCCTGCATTGTGTTTAATATTTATTCTTCTGAATGCTGTGCTTGGTGTTGCACCTAGAATGTCTTTTCTCCTATAAGCTGCTTTGTAGCAACCGAATTGTGCATATTCATCTGTTCAGAATATGCACCTCAATTGCCTGTTCATTGATCAATCCTATTTTTTTTGTCGTGTCATTTTGGTATACAGTGCATCACAATTGGTCTTAAAAGCTCATAGAGAAGCTGTGAATTCACTGAGTGGGAATGGTTCTACCAAGTTGGGAACAGTTGCAACAGTGGTGGCTGCTGCCAACTCAACAGCCTTGGAGGCAGCTAAAGAGATTGAAGCAGCAATGCAGATATCTGTGAGAGCAGCTCTGGGTATAGTCACAAATAAGCCAAAGGAAGGTCATATGGATGATTTAGCTATTATGAAGGTAAGAGATCCTCAGGCACTAGTGTGGAAAATAAGGTAAATAATGCTTCAAAGATCTGATTATGTAGCTAACAGTGCATGTTAAGTCAAGTAAATGCAAATTTGCATGATGGGTGTTTTTTAGCGCTAGTTGCTGCTCTTCGTCTGCCTCATTGATACCAACTTATGCAATGCAGTGAAGCAAATCATTGTTCTATATGTTGGTTATTGTGCAGCTGAAAGGCGTGCTCTCCATTTTTCTTGAAGTATATGGGAGTTCTTGAAGTACTAGTCAATTTAATTGTTTCTTCAGATATATGAAATTTGGGAAATCAGGTTCTAGCCAAAACCAACGATACCGAATGCTTCTGTTCTTTACATTGGTGCATATCAAAGAGTTCCTTGAATCTTTTCTTATAGTATTTTGTTCCTTGCATATTATATATTGCAAAATAATATCATACTATAATAATAATTGCCAGAGGCTCCGACCTGGGTAGCTTTCCTGCACTAGCATACAACTCTTACCATCCATTGCTTCATGTTTGAACAATTCTCTCATGGCCTCATGCCTGTTTCTGTTCTTTCTGATGTATAGCCTAGACTTTGCTTAAATATTTTTATTTATCAATTATTTTATTGTTTATGCTCATGAGAATTTCCTATCTCTTTCCTTATATGGACTTCTATATTCTTGGCCAGCTGTTTCTACGGTTACAGGTGATGCATTTGACCCCGATAATATGCTTCTTTACAAATGGACATAGCCCATTTGTTGCTTGCATTGCAACCATAAAGGTTATGATGATTATTGCGTGGGTTAGCTTCTCTCATGCCTATTCTGAACCAGAGGCAAAATCCCATGTATAACCATCACAAATACAGTGGCAGACTATCATGTATTTGTGGCGACTCTATGCACTAGTGTCTAAATCACTAAATGATATTCATTTAGAGGCTTATGTTCAAATGCCCTGGTATCACCATGGAGTTGAGGATGAATTAGACCAGTTTTGCATAAACAGTGGCACCAGCGTGGGTGTCTAGAATGTGACTTTGGTGTCTCTTGCTTCAAGCCAAAAAGTCAGTACAGCCCTGTCATGTCCCCACAACTATATATGATATTCAAAGAAAATCATTCAAAGGAAAAAAAATGAAAAATTCAAAAACATATATTAAAAAATTGTTTCATGTGAGAAAATTTAAAAAAGTATTTCATACTTATGCAGTTATGTTATTCTATTTTTCAAATTGATACTTTGTTTAATCTTCGAATAAATTTTCCGAACATTATTAGTATTTGTTATCTATTCATAGCGGTAGAGTTGCTGTCTTCAAATTTAAGAGTTTGTGATTTCAAATCCCGCAGCCATCCCCTCTTCTGAAACAGCATCATTGCGCTTTCTTTAATACTATTCATAGTGGACTTTCCAATGATAAGCACTAATTTTTAGTTGTCTTTAGCTGGTAGAGTGCCTTTTGTAAAGTTAAGTGGGTTCAAATTGTACAATCATCACCTCTTTTCTAAAACTATAATATGCAGACACAGTGTCTACTAGGTCAACACGGAATGTTAGACTGGTGGATATGTTGCGTTGGAAGCTTGTTGCAATTGACATGCCGACACGTACAGATGAGGCATCTATATGTTGAAGTGTCGATACGTGTCGTCATGTGACAGGGCCCAAATGAAGTGGCGGTGTAACACTGGGTTAAACAGTTCTTGGCATTACATAATTGACATTCCACTTAAATTAACATATTTATGATCAAAATCACCGAATTCATTTACAGGAGACTCTCCGTGTTAAGGATGAAGAATTGAAACAGTTGGCGAGTGAAGTTCGTGCTAGGGACTCAACAATCAATGAAATAGCTGAGAAATTATCTGATACTGCTGAAGCTGCTGAGGCAGCTGCAGCTGCTGCTCATGCCATGGATGAAGATCGAAGGGCCGCTTGTACAGAATTTGAACGTATAATAAAGGGCTCAGAGAACCAATTGGAGTCAACCACATTAAAGGTACAAAATATCTCTCTCTCTCTCTCAATCAAAAATATGATGTGCACGTGCATGTCTGTGTGCGTGTGCACGATGTGCATGCGCACAACGTGCGTGCATGTGTGTGTCCGTAGGCTACAACACGGCTAGGGATTTTTTTGGGCTAAAATTCTGCACATCATCTTTGATTAAAAAAGTAAACAATTTTGAAAAAGATTTCTTTTGAGTTATGTTTTATTCTATTCTTATTCACATGCCATCTTAAACAACGATTCTGGTTCCTGGCATGTGGTAAAAAAAAATTCAAATTCAAATGAAGTATTCAAAATGAAACCCTTGTATCTTGTGTTCAACCGCTTCTTCTTTTTTTCTTTTTTTTTCCAATTTTATGTTTCAAACAAAAGAAACAAGTGCTCCTTCTAATATAAGATCCTAAGATTAGGGCCCATTAGATTAGACAGAAGAATTCTTATTCTACATACTAAAACACACAGGTCTATCTACTAAGCGAGAGCAGGGATCACTTGCTCCTTGACATACTCAATATCATTTGATTGAATAGTGTATATAATTGATTTCTTGTGTAACACTAATATTTTATTTTATTTTAGTTTTATATGCGAACTACAGGTGTTGAGATCTACATGTGTGCAAAATTTTGGGATTGCGAAACCCCTCTTATTCATGTTGTAAACAATTCAAAAGAAAAAGCATTATTCCAAAAGTAGAAAATAAAATCTTTCAAGCTCTTAAAACCCTTGATATATTTTCCCTCAAATAGACTGTCCGGAGTTATCATTTGAGGAACTGATTCTGAGCATTTTTTGAGCTCCAAATCAATTTACTTTTTCAGTGGAGTTGATCTTAGTTGACTAAAGATGACTTGAAAATTTTCAGATAAAAAAATTCCCCTAACTATGTTATTGGGGCTTGACCATGTTTTGTAGGTGGTCAGGCTGGGCAGTTAAATGTCTTTCTTGTATATACGTGTAATGTCTTCAATTTCCTTCATAGAAATGAACTGGATATTGTTCTCTTGCAAGATTGCCATTGCCATTTATTTACAGAAATGTAAGCTGTGTGTCACATTGGTGTACGTTGAGGCTAGAATCATATAATTCAGGGTCCTCACGTATATTATGAGTATTGCTTGATATGTTGATTGATGCAGTAAAGTTCTCCCCTTGTCATTTTTGGTTTTTTTGTTTACTTTAGGTGCTATACAGATCCAGATTTGGACTTTGCCATGTTTACTACTTATTGTTGGCCTTCTATTCATCTTGCAGTTGAAAGCCTCTGAAGAAAATGTTACGATCTTAAATAAAGAGAGAGAGCAACTGATGAAACAGAGGGACTCTGCTCTTCAAGAAGCACAGCTATGGCGTTTTGAGCTAGCAAAAGCCAGAGAACGCACTGTGATTTTGGAAGCAGCTGTAGTCAGAGCTGAAGAGAGAGCCAGGTGTGCAGAAGAAGAGGCTGAAGCAAAAGTGAAAAGTTCTTTGGAAAAAGAGAGAGCTGCCACCAAAGAAAAGGAAGAGCTTCTAGCTTACGTGAAAATGTTGCAAGCTCAACTTCAAAGGTTCTTATATTTTACTTGTTTGATTCTCCATTCATTCGGCCAGATCTTGTAGTAACTTTCTACTGCTTATAGCCTATTACGTGATATTTTCTACGTGTTGGTTCAAGAGTGTCCTGTATTTGGTTATAAACATGTAGCATGTTTGACACCTAGACCAAATGTGGTATTCAGTTATAGTATGTAGTTTTTTATGGGATCATATGTTGAGATCTGAACCTTGGAAAATTATTGTGTGGTCCTCATACCCGAACCCCTAAGTCAGGAGGCCAAACCCCACATGCAGATCCTTTTCATTTGCCTTTGATGTTGTGCATGCGTGCATGTACGTGTGCTTATGCATATGCCTGTGCATGCGTGTGTGTGCATGTCAATGTGGGTGTGCATATGCCGGTGCATGTGTGTGTGTGTCATGCTACTGCCCATGGTGAAGTACCATTACTTTACAAGATAACCCACTGTGAATTCCTTCTCTACCAGGAAACCGAGCACCACTGAACAAGTTTTTGAGGAGAAAGAGGACTTGTGTTCTCGTGGGGAACCCATTCCTTCATTGACAAAGCATGTCGACTCTTCCAACGAGAATGTGGACAAAGCTTGTGTAAGTGATTCGACACCAATCCCTGTCTCCGGTGAAAACCTAATCCAAATTCCTTCCAGTGAGGTTGATATAAGGTCTATTGGGGAGAATGAATGGAATGATTTCCAATCAACAAATGCAAGAATAGCAGATGTTAGAGAGATTCCGACTGAGACACAGGGGAGTAGCATCGATATCCCTATTGTGGCCTCCCTAGTTGATGATGGCCATAATAACCGTGCAGGTGACTCTCCTCAGCCCTAGAAATTTTTCTGAAGTAACTAAAATGAGGAAGCTCTTTGTTTAAAATGTGTATTTGGCCTAAGGAAACTGATGTAGTTGATTAATGTACATTTTGATGATCAAATTGGCTTATTATGCCTTTTATTATTGTATGAATGGATTTATGTGCAAGGAGGGTTTACCATCTTAATATGATTCCCACCCTACATGTGATATTTGATTACTTAGACGCTAGTGGTCATTTGGGACACACTAGGATATGCGAATCCAGGTTCTGTATATCTAGGTTTTGATGGCCTAAGGTCGTTTAGGTGTAGTTTTCGAGATCATATCCTGAATATCTGTATTCTCAAAACTACTCATATCCATAATTTGCTCTTTGTTTTTCTGTATGCTTTTTTGTGTTTATATATGCACATTTGTGCATCGCTCACTTTTTGCATGCAGAGTTGGTGTCTACATGATCCTGAGTTTTTTGGGCTCTTGAAAGCGGGTTTCGATAAGATGGGTTGAGGGTTTCAGAGGTAGAAAAGGAGACGAGAGATTGGGGATTGGGTTTCTTTCTAGTGATAAGTCATTTGCAATTGATAGCTCTTCGATTGAAGCCTCTCTCTCTCTCTCTCTCTCTCTTAGATTTGATATATGGACTTGTGAGTAGCATGTGGGAGTTGAACTGGTGATTTTTTATTTGTGGTTGACAATGTTCAAGAAGACTGAAATGGCTGCCAGGGCGGCCACCATAGACTGCCATTGTGTAGGGGATTTTTTTTCCGTCAGAGTCTCTTCCCAACTAATTGGGGTCGCTATATGAATCTGGGTTTACTATTCTGCTCTATTGAATGCCATATTCTCAGTGAGGCAATAAGTCCATATATTTTTTCTCAATACTTCCATAAATGTCTTTTTTTTTTGGGGCCTATTCTGTATTTTTATTTAGCATTTCACTTGAACTAACTTGCATTTTGTACACTACATATGGTCAACCCACCTAAGTCTATTCTATCATCTTATGGTCTATTGGTGCCACACTTAATTTTTTTTCGAATGTATTCATTTCAAATTTCACCTTGTCTTGCCACTCATTTATATCAATATCTTCATTTTTGTTGCACTCATTCTATAGGTGTATTGTTTTTTGACAGACTAATATTTTACCCCATAAAAGAAAGCTGGAATCTCATAGTTGTCTTATAGAATTTATCATTTAGCTTTATTGTTATATGGCGATCGCATAAAATTCTGGATGCGTATCTCCACTTTGTCCACCCAACTCGAATTGAATGTGCAACATTTTTCTCAATCTCCTCATTTAATTGGATTATTGACCAAAGATATCGAAAGTGCGCTCTTTTTGGTATTTCTAGTCATCAATCTTAGTTACTTTTTCGTCATTCTTCCGAGTATTATTAAAATTATATTTCATATACTATGTTATTGTCTGACTAATTTTAAAACTTTTAGATTCTAAAGCATCCCTCCAAAGTTTTAATTTTGTGTTTACATCGTTTCAAGTTTCGTCGATTAAAACTATGTCATTTGTAAACAAAGTGCACCACAATACCATGGGGTTGTCAATTATGGAATCTTTTTTTTTTGGTAATTTGGAATCTAATTTCTTATAAACTAAAATTTACGTGTTTAAAAATAAATTCAGATAACTTTAAACTAGGAATTTCCCTCAAATTTGACATAAATATACATCCATAAGCATTTCAAACGTTACTTCAAAAAGTCTAAAGCTCAAGTATTCTGCTTTAACACATTCCACTATTCACAAGAGCTTGACACATGTAGAGTTCCAAAATCTAAATTTCCAACATTCTAAGGAGAGTGCATAAATTTATAAAGAATTAAATAGGAGAGTGCATGAATTTATAAAAAATTAAATGATCATGAACTTAAAAGAGGGTGGGTCACTTCCAACAATGTCATATCTTGTCTCTCCCACTTACACTATTATAGTTTGGGCCTTTCCTTGGACCGCAACAACAAGAAAAGGGCAGGTAAAGTAAGAATCCATAGGCCCTGCACTATGTGACCTAATATGCTTGATCTCCACATTTATCATTTTGCCTAGCCGTACTTCCATTTTCTTCTTCGTCTTCTCTTTGATTCCAAATATCTACTGATCTCCTAATATCATCCATTTTTTTTAACCTTTTGTTTCTTCTTCTTGAACCCTTACTTCCACTGAGATTTGAGTGCAAAGGGCAACATCACTTTTTATCCCGATCAAATGCTTCTTGAATCTATTAATTTTGTATGAATAAAAACCCTTATATTAATCGCAATAGATCTTTTGTTTATTGAATGGATTTGGTTATATCCGATCAATTTGTTTCCCAATAGAACTAGAATAAGACATTGTGAGTAAGCGAATGAGTATGTGACAAATGACAATGTAAGAGTCAGCACTCAAAATAATATGAAAGTATAGAAAAGCTCAATTTAGTCAAACTTAGCCAACATAATTTACCATGAAATATGAGTCATACAATGAAATTAAATCCAAAGATAGACAAAAATCTATTTTGAATTGCATTTAAAGCTGAAACAAAGCCAAACATATCCACACAATATGTTATAAAGTTTTGATTTTGTACTATGAGCTAGAAACATGGCCAAACATACCTAAACACATGTTATAATCATAAAAATCGCAAGCCGATTCTTTCAAAAAATAATAATCAAGAAGTTACACCATAGACGTCGTACCAAAATTAAAATATAAACACAAAAAAATTACCTAATTTTTTTTTAACATAATACAATACTCATAAAAAGAAAAAAACAAAACCCTAAATATAAACATTTAAATATACTAATCTTTCAAAACCCAATCGAGGTGGGCTTCAATCACTTGCTAAAAAAACCCTTTTCGGCATGGTCTATTTTCAGCTTGCCAAAAAGACCAAGGGTGGGCGTCGGGGCCTTGGAGCTGGGCCCCCGCCCAACCACCTGGGTTTGCCCGACCTAGCCTACCGCCACGCCGCCCTAGGGCAGGATGGTGAGGCCTGCTCGCCGCCCAGGCTGCTCGGCAGGCGATTTTTTGATGCAACTTCTTATGCGTAGTCTTCATTAGTACTTGCCAAACAATGAACTTGCTTTTCATTAGTACTTGCCAAACAATGAACTTGCTTTTCATTAGTACTTGCCAAACAATGAACTTGCTCTTTACATCCACAAAAGTTGGTGCTCTCATTAGTACTTGCCAAACAATGAACTTGCTTCATTAGTACAGGAAATTCTAGGTTATACTTGTTTGTAAACAGTTTTCTATTTGTTTTAGCAGGGTCAATTTTTCATTAGTACTCGCCAAACAATAAACTTGCTTCATTAGTACAGGATATTCTAGTTGATACTTGTTTGTAAAAGTTTTCTATTTGTTTTAGCATGGTCAATTTTCATTGAAAAATTGAGGGAATTCTAGTTGATTCTTGTTTGTAAACGGTTTTCTATTTGTTTTAGGAGGATCAATACAAACAGTTTTCTATTTGTTTTAGCAGGGTCAATTTTCTTATATTGAAAAATTGAGGTGGTTCATCTTCAATTTCTTTACTTGTTTGTAAACAGTTTTCTATTTGTTTTAGCAGGGTCAATTTTCATTGAAAAATTGAGGAAATTCTAGTTGATACTTGTTTGTAAACAGTTTTCTATTTGTTTTAGCAGGGTCAATTTTCTTATATTGAAAAATTGAGGTGGTTCATTTTCAATTTGTTTTAGCCACCATCGTCAATTTTCTTATGTTGAAAAATTGACATTGTTCATTAAGACCATAATGAGTTGAGTGTTTTGAGTAAATGGGGAGGGGGCCCTCTATCTTCGGTAGGAATTGAGTCCAAGATGTAGCGTTATAAATCAAGCGCTAATCGATTAAGCCCGAGCTTTTTTTCTAAATTACTGTTAAATTGGTTGCTCACAAATAATCAGTACTTGCTATCTGAAAGTCCACCTTCTCATGCTTAAAAAATACCGACTTCCTTTCATATATTCCGATCATTCTTATTCTTGGCCCGACCTAGACCGGTCTAGGATGATTCCAATTTAGATACGACGATTCCAAATCTAAGCCACCTTTTGTGAAACACTCATTCCAATCCAAGGGAGAGATGGAGGAAGGGGACCTTGGCATAGGGGTGGCAATGGACTCGGGCCTGGTTCCAGATATGGGCCCAAAAATTGGACGCGGCGGGGTCAAGTTCGGGTCCATATGTAGGAGCCGAGCACTATTTGGGTGTGGGTCCATGTGCACCTAACCTAGACTCAACTCAAATAGTGTTATTATTTAAATAATTTTTAATATATAATATTTTATTAATATTTAATTATATAACTATAGACTTCTAATTAGGAAAAAGTTTATATTTCTAATACTCAAATAACATATTTCGTTACTATTTGAAGGTGTGCCCTATTTTGATTGTTTAGGGCCTCGGCCTTATGCAAACTGCACACTTTTAGTTATAATAATTGAATATTATATCTATATGAAAATAAAATTATTTCCATTTGGATCTAATTCTATATTGCTGGATCCAGACCGACCCGACCCGTTGCCACCCCTATGTTGGTGTCAAAACAAGAGATAGAAGAGGAACCTCTATTTCTTACCCCAATTTTTAGAAGGAAAATTGTTTCATGTGGCCTGGACCACATAAATACAAATGCCGTACAAGAAGTGTAAAGCATCCATCTCAAAGATAGATGCATGTAGGTGTTTTATCTAAAAACAATAAAAACTGATTGTCCAAATATTTTTTTATTAGAATTATTATTTGTAGTTTTTAAAATTTATTTATTTGTTCATATTCATGATCTTCATGTTAAAGATTACATATTTTTAAAAATTAAATAAAAAAATCCATCTCAAAAATAAATTTATTAATAGGCCCGCACTTCTACATATGCGGGCCACATAGAAACCGGGTCCTTTTTAAATTCGGGGTTCCTAATGATGAAAAGTGAAAACAAATAGAAGCCCGAATTTTCGGCCAAATTCCGTCTTTCCATTCTCTCGATGGAGCTCTTTTCTTCTAGAAAATCCAGAAGTTACACAAACCGTATTCGAACAACACGTGCGGCTTGCAATACTTGGCGGGAGCCTCATTTTTCTTTTCACAAATGACCTAGTCACCCTTCTATATCGACGCACCTTTTTCGATGACCATTTTACCCTCGGCTTCGACAATGGTACAATATTCCAACAAAATACAGTTTTTTTTGTGCTCCTGCGGGAGCGTGCTGGAGTACCGTTAAATTATTTTTCCTTAATGGCATGTTAATGGGGAGAATGAAGCATGTTAATGGGGAGAATGAAGGGTGGAATTTTGAGGCATCAGCCTTCTAACTATCCATGCCCCAACCTCACACCAATAATGTCTAGTTATTCTCTTGAATAAATCTAAACTCGAGTACTTTTAAGACCTTAAATTTTGGATGAAATTTTTTCGACCCAACGATCAACCTCAAAAAGGAAAAAACAAAAAAGAAGAGCTTGAATGGGATTTTTTATGTGATTGAAAAAATAATGTCTTAAGATTGCACACAGATTGCCCATTTTTTAAAGGGTAAGACTTAAAGTGTTAAACAATTTAAAATTTATTTTTGAAAAATAATTTTTTAATAAATTTGAAAAATTTAAAATAAAATAATTCTCCCAGGTAAGTTATTGCCTACGGGAGTAACTTACAACACCTTACAGGAGCTAGCTTGATACTATCACAAATGACGAAACTGCATTAACGCCCCTGGGGCGTCAACTATTTTAACATTATGCTCACATTTTTATTTATTTATTTTTAAAATATCCATGAAAATATGTATAACAATAAGTTGGAATATTCTAAAAATGCTGAAATATTAAAGAAGGACACGGTTACTATGCGTGCCCACCCAAATAGGAACTAGCGCCACACACTGTTCAACAAACTTAGATGGCAAATTGGACGGTCAGTGGCATTAGTTCATATGTGAGCCCGCCTACATATTAACTTTATATATTAAATAATTAAAAAACTGAATATATTTGATAATTTTTTTTTTTTTTAGAATTGGATGAAGCCACTTCAATAATGCTATAAAAAAAAAAAAAAAAAAGTGGGAGAATTACTAGCTTGACAGTTTTCGTGATTTCCGTTTGTTTCTCTTGGCGGTGGACTGTACCGTCATTTCAGATAGCTTTGGGGCGATACCGTCATTTTGTCATCAATATAAATAGAAGCACCTGCACGGAGCCAAACCTTCGCGGAAGGTGGGAAGCCGGGGCCTTCGCTGCGGTCTCTTCCACCTGTTGCCTAAGGTGCTCCTCTCTCTCTTCTTTAACCTGTCTTTCTCTCTCATCTCTCTTCTGTGACCTATTTTTCTCTCTCATCTCTCTTCTGTGACCTATCTTTCTCTCTCATCTCTCTTCTGTGACCTATCTTTCTCTCTCATCTCTCTCTTCTGTAACTGTCGCTTCTCTCTTTCTCTCTCTTCTGTAGCCTCATCTCTCTCCTCTGTAACCTAAGGTGTAAGGTGCCTCTCTCTCTTCTATAACACCTAAGGTGTCTCTCTCGGAACCTAAGGTGCCTCTCTCTTTATTCCCGGCCTCTCTCTTAATCCTCTTTCCTTCTCTCTCTTCTCTCTCTATTTGTTTCGGTTTCTCTCTCAGTTCTTCTATGTTTAACTTTCTTATCTACTCTTCCTATCATCCAGTCCTCTCTCTCTATTTCTTCCCATTTCTCTATCCCACGATGTGGGACTGTTTTCCCTCTCTGTCCATGCAGCTTCTCTCTAGATCATCTCTCTTTCTCACTCATTGATGTCTAAATTTTGGAATTTCTTGTTTTCAAATTCTACTGTTATGATTTTTTCTCCTATTTCACGAGTTATGAGTTTTTATCAGATTTCTGCATTTTAATTTTTTTTATCGAATTCAAATTCAATTATGTGGTTTTCTGGGTCAATACCATGGAAAATATGGTTTTTGTTTTTTGTTATTGCATAAACTTGATTTATTTTATCAAAAAAATGAAAACCTTGTCAAACACAGCTGGTTTGGTTTCAGTCTTGTATGTAGGACATGATTATATAGTTACATTTGGGACTGATATCATGGATATGAAAACACTTCATTTTTTTAAAATAATATTTCATATGCATTCTGTTCTGAGTTCTGACTTATATCATGCGTACTTTTGAATTCATTCAACTTACCTGTTCTTGTTTTTTTTTTTTAATTGTGTTCTTGTTACTTGTGGCTTTATTTCAGGATTACTGCTCGGATAGCCTTTATTGGTCCGGCAACTAGAGCTTTGTATTAATATGGTATGCTCTTTTATGCTCGTCTAGATATACTCAATTGCTTCGTGATATGATTTAACATCCATTTATCCAATTTCTATATACATCATAGAATCAAATGGATATCTCTAATTAGGGCTTTGGCGATGGCTAGGCCACCAATCTGAGTTTCATGGTCTTTCTATGTTCCTCCTTCTAAATACGATATTGACATTTATTGAGTTTGCAGTGTTTTAAAAAATGGGCCGGGGGGGAGGGATTGTCCACTACCCATCCTAATTCGGTTCAGCAGAATTGGCGATTCAGATCGGATCTGATCCCGATTTTTTATTTTTATTTGAAAAGAAACAGAAAGATTATAAGATATCTAAATTATACTGTGTACTCTATAATATTCAAGCTGAAATGGTGAATTAGTGAGAATTGTAGTCAGGTAGTGGGAGTTATAGGTTCAATTCCTCCCATTGGGTCGTGGCTTACAAAAAATAGTTATAACATTTTCATTCAAATATTGCACACTGAAGGGTTTGAACCTCCAACCTCATGAGCAAACGATGCAAGCGCTAACCACTAGCTCTATTTAATGTTTTTGATAATAATAATATACATTATAGTATATACGAAGTTTGAACACCAATCTAGCCCAAGAACCAGATTGGCCTTGGATGATTCCCAATTGGATCCGCGATTTCCAATCTGGATTGGCAATTTTTTAAACACTGTTCAGTTGTGATTTATGAAAATTATTTCAACCCATATTGAGTAGATCAATGCTTGCCTTTTCCTTTTTGTTAAGTAAATAAATGTACTTTGTTTCTTTTTTGTCTAGTAACCCTTAGTATTGCAGAATGCAGAGTGCTGCTAAATGCTTTGAATATGAAATGTATTTCATCTTGGGATGTTAAGAGTTTAGATTTGTACATTGAAGTTGGTATTGCTGCTTAATATATTCAAGTTGTGAAACATTGATGCATTTTTGAGGTTGCATGAATCTTATTTTCAGATACAAATGTTCCATGGCTAGAAACATGAAGAGTTTCTAGTATGGTTGCCCAGCATGTTGTATATGCTTGTAGTATTAGCTTAAAAGGTCAAATGTTAAGAAAAGACAAAAATAAAAAAAAAGGTATCATCTTGAAAGATGATTCTTGTAGACAGATGGCTGCGGGTTGATATTTCAAGTAGGCATCAGACTTTGAAGTTCTCTGCATGGGCCAAATTCATAGCCTATGCCTTTTTGTTGCTTAGTACTTTAGGGATATTATTGGACATGTTATTGATGAGGTGGACTCAAAATTAAGGATCTCCTTGTGGCGATAGAGACGGTCAATGCTATGGAATAAGAGCTTATGCTTGAGAAGTTTAATGGATTTGGAAGGAATTGTCATGGATTTTTGGAGTTAGTTGCAGTAGTGTGCTGCCTCATTTCTACTGGTGAAACGAAGAAGAAAAATGGTGCGACAACACCTAGTTGAGTTCATATTATGTTGTATTCTTCAGCTTGAAGAGGAAGAAGGTTGGCTCGTGTAGGATTATTATGACTGAAAAGCATTTAATTGATGGTCATGTATTGGTTGTCTTTTAGGTGTTTCCATATTACTGCTACATTGGTGGCTTTTTAATTGTTGGCTCTTGATCCCGTACCCCTGCCTTGGGTTCTGCTCTAGGTCATCTTCAGGTCTTCAACATTCTGTGGATCATTCTTGAATCCTTATCCATTTGCAAATCAAATATCTTTTAGAGCTTTATTATCTTAGTTTGTCATTTTTCATGGAACACAATTCTAAGTAAAAATATTAGAATTCTAAGTAAAAATATTAGTTTGTCATTTTTCATGGACAAAGTTTTGTCTTAGTAGATGATCTTAATTTGTCTAACACGTGTACAAAAATAAAGATATTTATCTAGATTGTTATGTTTATAGAGTGCGTTGAGATTTAATTTGGTGGGTGTTGGAGAAAAAAGGAGTCTCCATATACTATATCAACTTGGTGAGAGATATATACGAGAGAGTGTTAACTACTGTGCGGACAACTAGTAGAAAGACGAGTGAGTTTTCAGTGACAATAGGTCTACGTCAGAGGTCAACATTGAGCTCATGCTTCTTTGTCTTAGTTATGGGTGACTTAACTAGGCACCAAAAAGATGAGGTACCGTGGTGTATGTTGTTCGCATATGACATAATTTGGATTGATGAGACTTGAAGCGATGTCAACGCAAAGAGCTTTGGAGGGATGCTCTAGAACCTAAAGGTTTTAAAATTAGCCGGACTAAGATAAAGTATATGGAATGCAAGTTTAGTAATAACATGTGTAGAGACGAGGAAGTAGTTAAGATTGGCAGCCAAGACATACCAAAAAGAGCGCACTTTCGATATCTTGGGTCGATAATCTAGGAAAATAGAGAGATTGAAAAAATTTTGTCAAAAAAAATAATTGAGAGGTTGAAGATTTCAGACATGGAATTAGAGTTGGGTGGACGAAATGGAGATGTGCAACCGGAGTTTGATGTGATTGCCGCATACCAATGAAGCTGAATGAGAAGTTCTATAGGATAGCTGTGAGACCAGTTTTGCCTTATGGGCTGAAATAATGGGCGATCAAGAAATAACATACCTATAGAATGAGTATAGCTGAAATGAGGATGATGAGATGGATGAATGGCAAGATAAGAAGACGTAGAATTCGAAATGAATACATTCGGGAGAACTTAGGTGTGGCTTCAAAAAGCGATAAGACGAGAGAAAGTAGACTTAGGTTGGTTGGAATTGGGGATGTCCAATGTTATAATTGAGATCAATGTTCCAAAAAATGGTTCGTCTGGCACTTAGGCGGCCTGCCTATACAGGCTAGGGGGGGCTGGATGCATCACCCAAGCCTAGGGCAGCCCTCTTGGGCACTGGGTCCTTGGATGGGTGCGTAGGGATTGTGCTTGTGCATGGTTGTATTCGCCCCCCTAAATAAGATGGGGAAGGTGGGGAGGGATTTAGGCTCTTATGTGTCCGAAACACCCCTCCCCCTCCCCGTCCTTTTTTTTAGTTTGGCATATTAGCGTGCAAAAAACAAGAAAAAACACATTTTTTGCTTTCTTGTTAGATTGATTAGTTAGTTCAAAGTTTTAAAATGTTGATCCAAAACATCATCCTTATGGTTTGGATTTGATTTTATGGATTTTTTGAAGCTTATGATGGACTATGGGCTATGTGTATGAATTAATAAGAAGTATGCTCTATGGTGTTTGGGTTAAGGTTTGAACTATGGAGTATGGATTAATTGGATTATAATTTATGATTTGTGAATGGTGACTTGTGAGTTTATGAGTATATCATCATCATCCAAGCCTTATCCTAATACATGAATTCTATTCCTCCATTCTTCTCTATCAAGGGCTATACCCTCAGTAAGATCAAAAGGCACTATATCTTTTCTCACTGCTTCTATCCATGTTCTTTTGAGTCTTCTTTTTGCCTTTTTAGTGCCTTCCTCTTGAACCAAATCGTACCTCCTAACCGGTGTTGTATTTAGGTTTACGTTGCATGTGGCCAGCCCAACTAAGTCTACTTTCTCTAATCTATTGAAGCCACACTTAAGTTCCCTCATATGTATTCATTCCGAATTCTATCATTTTTTGTCTTGCACTCATCCATCTCAACATCCTCATCTCAGCTACACTTATCCTATGGATATGTTGAGAGTTTGTGACTATATGATTATTATATTATTCCTTGTGATTGTGTTAGTACTCAATACTAGTAGTCTAGTTGGATTCTATTTTCTTATTTTTCTTAATATGTTATTAACTAATTGTCCAAATCTCAAATACTTTGGTTTGTCTCTGGAGTTTGGATTGATTGGACATAAAAATGTATTAAAAATGTGCCTCAATATGCATTTGTTTAAACACAATTTGGAACTGAAACAGTTTTTTTGAGCAACTTCCACCCATGTTCTTCCACCTGGGCTGCCCAAAAGTCTCGGCGGCCAGGACGAATGCCACTCCCATCTCGCTCCGCCAAAAAAAAAAAAAGAGAACTACATCTTCATTGAATCTGGACTCATTTTTCAAGCACAATTAAAATGAGTAATGAGTCATATGGATGACTTATCATTCCAAGTGACTTATCTAGAGGATTCAGGCGTAAGGTTTACACTTCAGAAAGTACCAAGTAGTGGTCTCTATATCTATTTGTATAGAGATTAGATTGTAATTCAAAGATTGAAGTTTCTCGAGGTTGGCTACTGAATTCTCATCAACTTGTATTGCTCTTCATGATAAAGAGGGGGTTTAAGATTAAATTCATATGGAAGTAAGCAATCTCTCTCCTTGTACTATGTAGTATTAGTGAGTATTGATTCACAGGGATAAAATCTTTATATTAAATTTGATAGATGTAAAAACTTGCACGCACCAGGGCCTTTAGAAACTTTGTGCTGTATAATTTCTGTAGTAACAGTCCACAAGGTCGAGCTTTACAAGAGGCCAACAATAACAACATTATGTGGTAATTTTTTTCATTGGTTTTGTCTTTGTTGTGGATTGCTATAACAGATTGTACTTGAATTGTTTGTATTAGCTTTGTCTGCATAGAGAGTTTTCATTCATAGCTCTGTCTGCATAGAGAGTTTTCATTCGCTGTAGACAACTTGTATTTGTGGGTGATTTCTCTGGGCATCCCTCATAACCTACCTGCCTGACCAAAAACAAATGAAAGTACTTTGGTGCATGCTCGTCTGTTTGCGAAGGCGATTGCAAATGGTGATTAAAACCCTGGGCTTCTGGAGTGCTGGGGTTGTCAAATGGTGTTGTCCTATGTGAATGCTAAGACTAATCCATTAGTAAGGGAACCGAGAACCTTATATGTCAATGGTGTAAGATTTTTGATGCACTATATACTGGTGAGAGAGAGATATCAGTGTTACAAAGAACCATTAAGGGGACAGCACTGTCTGATATTTCCAAATGCCCATATAATTGTTAGAGACCGCTGGATGTGGTTTGGATTTAGCAGTTATTCATGGGTAAGTCCTTTTTTCAAATCGCAATGATTGTAATAAGCATTGTTTTGTGGTGTCAAATTACCCATAGTTCCTGTTTCTCTGTGCCAATTACTTGAAAGAACGTAGAGAAAAAAACTCTCCTGCCTACTTAAAACACCTGTTTCTCCCCAATGAATACGCCCATTCATGAATATCGATTACGGAGCATCCAAAATTGGCCCTTGGATACCAGGATGCCGATGTAAACATATCATTTTCTCAATTATGATATTTGTTGACTTTGTTTAGAGATCAGAAATAGATTCCTCTCAGCGAAGTTGATTATAAATAGTTCTGATATACACAGGTTCATTTAGAAGGACAAAAGTACCCCTAATGGGTCATTTATCCTTTTTTTTTTGAAAGAAAGATCAACTTGTATCATACTAATAGTACGATTGCTATAACAAGTAATACAAAATTGGCAACCCACAGGTTGGATGCTTTATACACAGGTACCAGAAAATGGGGGCCATTAAACTCTATAGCTACAAAAACAGTGGTGAAAGAATGTCAGTGTGAGAGGTTTGTGACTAACACGTGGCAGAGAGAGATCGAGAGGGAGGGAAAAGATCAGGATTGAGAGGGGCTTGTAGAATAATTCCAACTGTACGAAAACGAGAATGTGAGGGGAGTTTGCTGATACCCATGAGTCAAATTGTGGCTCCCTGCTTCGCGAGACTGTCAGCCACGTAATTTACGTCTCTCCACGTTTGGATGAATGCAATTCAAAGACATCTGCATAGATAAAAAATATGATAAAAAAGATGGTCCAGTTTCAAGGGGCAGGTAGTCTTTTTGGAGGCCCATCCTCAGAATTTTTTGAGCGCTGTCTGCTATAAGGAGATTTCCCGTGGTGGGTTCAAATCTTTTTAGCTCTTCAAGAAGGGATATGGTGTCGGCTTCAGTGGAATCCGCAATTCCATTCTCGAGAAGGATAACCTAGTATTTCGTTGCTTGCCTCTGAATATTCCACTGAACCCTGCATGGCGAGGGTTTGCTAAGAGAGCATTCACTTAACTGATTCCTTCTTTTTTCTGCCTGCCTCCTAGGCTGGATCTGAGAATTCTGGAAGTCCTTGTGGAGAGGTTGCTTGTGAGTCATTTACGAACTCAGAGACTGTGAGGGTCTTGAGGCCTTTGTGGTTTTTTGCCCTTAAAATGATAGTTGATTTAATACAATCTGGTATGGATTGGAGGGTAGCCTCTTTTTCTTTAAAGATTCTCTTGTTCCTTAAATACCAAAGGGACCATTGACCACGTGGTGGCCATAGCAGAATCACACCAAATGATTGGCCTTCAAAAGGTCACGGTGGGGAGAAGAAGGCCTGGAAGAGTTGTTCGGTGGTTCTTGGGGTCACCCTTGATAACTGGATAAATTCAGCGGGAAAGACCAGAGGTGGGAAGCTACGGGACAATGAATGAAGAGGTGTTCGTTTGTTTCCTCGGCTTTGATACACTTGAGCAGCGAGTGTGTTGGCGACCACTTCTCTGTAATTGATCCACTGCTGATGGTCTTGTTTGAGATGGCGATCCAATTAAAAGCTTGGACCTTCGTGGGTGGCTTGCACAGGCCATGGAAACTGAATTGATTTGTTTAAGGGCACGTACGAGGCGACTGCAAATCTTCATGCACTATTAGGAATCCAAATTAGCTTGTCATGGCCCTGACCTGGGAAGAAGCAGGGAGGTAACAGCTCAAGTGAGGCCATGTAATCCCTGGACTCGTCTTTAGTCAGGGACCTCCTGAAGGGGAAATTCCCAACATTAGAGCCACCAAAGCTCTCATAAGATTGTGCCACCTGTGTTACCGTTTGTGACCACCAGTAACAGAGCAGCCGTCTTTCCTCTAGGATTGAGTCCCTGAGTCAGCCATAATTCCAAAATCTGATCCTTTCCCCAGTTTTGACTGTTACTGAATATTAGTCATGAATTTGTTATGGCTAAGCATGATACTTTTCCAGATTGCCAAAGCCCTGGCATCTCTTCGCCCCTTTGGGAACCAGCCTGACAAAGCTGGTTTTGTTGGGTGGCATACTACCACTGTGCCACCCCCATTTTCTTAGTGCCGCAGAACTTTCCATCCAGGATCTAATTCTAAGACCAACTCCGGTTCTACACATGTTATCCTGGGCATAGGGTGAAATTTGTGGCTTTTTGTAGATCCAGGCCAAAGGAAATTTTGCTCAATTTTGTTACCAATGGCAACTGTTATTTGGAATATGGACATCTGGCAAATAGGGATGTTTGATAGGGTGGCTTATGTTAGGGTTAATTGGTCTCCAAACGTAAGGAATCTTCCTTTTCTACCATTAGGGAAAATTAGTGAAATTAGCCTAATTTTGTGCAATTAGCACTTAAGAAGAATGGAAGTTAAGGGAATTGTATGCACTTAAGATAGTCACCATGCGTGACACGCACCATGGCAGCATGTTTGATATGCTCTAGAGACCCTAGTTGCTTCCTATATCAATCATGAGAAAATAAAATCTCTACTTTTAATGTGCCTTTTTATGGAATCCAAGAAGTTTTGGACAACATGAGGAATAATTGATGTGTATAATATTTTAACCTTTGTATTATCTATTATACTGGGCCTCCAAGTTGCCTTCCTGCCCTCGACAAATTGAGCCTCTTCTCAATCAAATCTTTGATTGAGAAAGAAGCTTTGGAGAACATGAGGAATAATTGACGTGTATAATATTTTAACCTTTGTATTATCTATTATACTGGGCCTCCAAGTTGTCTGCCTGGCCCTTGGCAAATTGAGCCTCTTCTCAATCAAATCTTTGACAAGTACTTATGGAGAGAAAGAAGCTCAAATACTGATTCCCTAGCCTGGGAGGGTGTGACCTCCAGTGTATAAAAAAGCGCTTGTTGGGTCCTAGGCGGCCTGGGCGGTCCAGGCCACCCAGTGCCTAGGCGGACGCTCAGAACCTGAGCAGCGGCCCTGTTGAAAAAAAAATAAAAAACATACAAAATTACCAATATACCATATTCCAAGTTGAAAAAAAAAAAATAGACGGGAAGAGAATTTTGATAATCCATAATGTTAAAACAGTAAACTGTAAAACCATACAAGTGTAGGATATAAAAGTCAACACTCAACACAACACAAATATACAGAAATTTAGAAAATAAACATTCTAACAAAAGTTAATACTCATGACTCAACACAACAGTTAACAGACTCAACACTCAGCACCAAGAGGCAAGAGTCTTCAGTCGTTGTCATCATCATCAGTAGAGGGAATATCAATAGGGCAAGCCTCATCATATGCATTAGAGTCGAGGCAATCATCATCAGAGTCATCTCTCTCTTCAATATAACGCTCGTCCTCTTCTGTTTTTTCTGAATCTTTATTTTCCTCCTCTTCTTCTATTTTCCTCTTACTAGTATGTGCAGTCTGTGCAGATGAGGTCCTAGGAGTCTTGGCTGCTCCATTCTTTTCTTTGTGCTTCTCTGAACTCAAATATTCTATAATTTCCTCCTTGGTAGCCTCAGTAACATTTTTATATGGGGCAACATCCCCCTTAATACTGGCAAGATGTTTTTTAAATCGGTAAATTCTCCCATTAGTATCATTTCTACAATAAGTACATTTAATACGATTTTTATCACTTGGATTTGGGTTGTAACCATACTTCCAACTCGGATCACCACTCCGACTAGAACCTGGAGAAGATAATTCCATAGAACAAGGCTTATTTTCATCCTTTTCTGGTTCTTCAAAATTCAAAAAATGTTTAATCTCATCCGGAACTGCTTCAAGAACCTTTGTACAAGAAGCAACATTACCTCTAACACCAGTAAGGTGTTTTTTTAATCGACTAATACCTCCTTTGGTATCTTTTTCACAAAAATTATACCTGATATACAATTTTTATCATTTGGTTTTGGGTTGTACCCATCCTTCCAACCCGGATCACTTCTTCTAGAAGTAGCAAAAATAGAAATAGATCTATCACAAGGATTTTGATCTCTTCTTTGATAGCTTCAGGAATATTTTTACAAAGGGCAACATCTCCTTTAATATCGGCAAGATGTTTCTTAAACCGATTTATGCCTCCTTTTGTATCTTTTTCACAAAAATTGCATCCAACGCAATTTTTGTCATTTAGATTCGAGTTGTATTCATATTTTCAACTTGGATCTCCACTCCGACTAACTCTTGAAGAAGACATCTCAAAATAGAACAAGCAATCTAAAAAATGCACTTACTTTGGTTGGTTGAACTCCAAACTTTGAGAAACACTACGATGATTCGATCCAATGAAATGTAGTTTTTTTGGATGTTTCCTTCTCTCTAAAAGGGGTTTTTGTGGGTTCAGGTTTCTAATGAATCTAAAATCCATCATTCTAAACTTTTATATCTTGAAAAAAACAAAAACAAAAAAAAGTACTTTTCCACCTCTGAGCGGGGCGCAGGCCCTGGGCAGCCGTCTAGGTCTGGACACCCAGGGACCACCGTCCAATTTGGCCGCCTAGGCGTTGGGCGGTCCGTTTTTTTGAACAATGGTGACCTCCCACACTTTTGTATCTAACACTACATAACCAGGGCCTGAATTCTGAAGTGGCGCCTTTGTTGTTACCCCCTTTGTGTCTCTTGGAACTTTCTTTTTGTTTTTTGACTCTAGTACGTTCCTCCCATTTTGGAAATTGGTGTAAAAAATTGTACATATCTATTATCCAGTAATGCATTTCCATTAATACATTCACCTTTACTCAATTATTATTTTGATCTCTGACATAAAAAATAGACCTAACTGGGAGCTCAGTGTAGTACAAATAAATGCATAATCCCTTACTGTGGATAACCATCATTGTGCAAGGAGGGGCCTCTTGCTGCTGGCGCTGCAGTTGGTGCTGCTGCATTAGGGGCACGCTACTTAATCCAGGCTTGGAATGCATTTAAAGCGCGTCCATTAGTCCCTCATGCTCGGAGATTTTACGAGGGTGGGTTCGAGCAAGTGATGTCAAGAAGAGAAGCTGCACTCATCCTTGGAGTCAGGTACTTGCCTCTCTCTCCCCCCTCATACACAAACTCTCTCTCTCAAAACACAAAAGACTACATGTAATTAGATTTTTATAGCTTTCTCTCTCTGCCTCCCTCCCTCAAACGCACTAATACAAACTGCATGTGAATTCACAGATATAACGCTCACATATATACCGAGTTTGTGCTGCACAAAACACACACCTCTATATCTGTTATATTGATGTAAGTGACTCGCTCTCAGGGAATCTGCTGTTATGGAGAAGATTAAAGAGGCCCACAGAAGAGTAATGGTTGTAAATCACCCAGACGCTGGTGGCAGCCATTATCTGGCTTCCAAGATCAATGAGGCAAAGGATATGTTAATTGGGAGATCAAAGGGTGGTGGTTCTGCATTTTAGGAAGACTGCCCTTCCTTTCCAGTATACGCTGACACCCACTGATATCTTCTTTTTCTTGTCTAATATTGAAATTTTGACAAAAGCTAACACATTATAATCAATAATGATTTGTAAACTATTCATCATATGCTTTACATGTATTTTTTAATAATTACTTATTCAAGACCAATAATGGTCAACTTTCTGATATAAAAACAATGTTTTAGCTTCATTGTCCAGCTCTACTCAGGAAATTTGGGATTTGGGTCGTCTGGTGGACATCATTTAGTTGTGCATAATTCCAGAGAAATTTGATGGTGGCGAAGTGAAATATTTTGGATGCGGTTAACATGGGGCCAAGCCCGCACATGTAGAAATGCGGCCTTGGCAATAAATATATTTTTTAAATATAATTTGATCTTAATTTTTTAAAAATAAATTTATTATATATTAAGCGAGAAGGAGATCCACACTATTTTTATGACATGTGTCTCTTTTTATTTTTGATATGTATCCCTCTTTTTTTTTATTTCTAAAAAAATAGGTCAATTGCTACCAAAGGTTTCCTAGATTTTTAAATTTCTCCAACAATCTCTCTAAAAAATGGTTGGACTTTTTTTTTCAAAAATTTCAAAGTTAGAGGTTCTCACCTCCGTAAATCTCTCCAGCAATCTCTCTAATTAAATTAAACATCAAAGTAATTTCTTTCCTTTCTCATTTCTTTCTCCTCTCAACGGTTCGTCTCCTTAAATCTCTCTTCCCTTGACTATTTATTTCTTTATCTCTCCTTAAATAACTGTCCATCTCCTCTTGCCCTCCTTCAGAGGCTCTCCTACTCTCTCTCCGCGCACTCTCTTTTTTAACAATATCTATCCTATTTTTTTTTTTTTAAATCTCTCTATTTTTTATTTTATTTTATTTTGTTTTATTGTATCTATCTCTATATTATATATTAAACGAGAAGGAGACACGAGTCTCACTCTTTTTTTTTTTTGAAACAAGTCAATTGTTACCAAAGGTTTCTACCTCTTTAACTTTCTCCAACAATCTCTCACCAAAACAGTGGGACACTCTTTTCAAAGGTTTCAAAGCCAGGTTCCCACCTCTTTCAATCTCTCAAACAATCTCTCTCCTTAAATTAAACATCCTCTTTCAATTTCTCAAACAATCTCTCTCCTTAAATTAAACATCGACCGTTAATTTTTTTCCTCTCGTTTCTCTCCCCTCAATGTTCCCTCCTTAAATGTCTTTCTTTTTCTCTCATTCTCTCCTTAAATGTCTTTCTTTTTCTCTCCTTAAATCTCTCTCCCTCTCCTCCTTTCCCTCCCTCTAGAGGCTCTCTCCCTCGCTCTCCGGACATCCTCTCTTTTTGTCTCAAAGCTTTCTAATATCTACCCATTTTCTTTTAAAATCTATTTTCTATCTTATTGTCTTATTCTAATTTTGACTTTTTTTTTGTTAGATTGTAATTTGCGGCCAATATACCAGTTAATTATAGATCCCTAGACGTTGTCAAATTTTGAACACTTTTCAAAATTCTAGGTAGCAAAATGCGTTTCTTTAAATTATTGTAAATTGGTACTATATTTATTTGTGTCGTTCTCCATTTAATTTAATTATATTTTATTTATTAAATATATAAATTTAATTTATTGTGTGGATAGAAATAAAGAAGAATATCGTTTGGCTTGAGTAATTGTGATTGAGTAATTTGAATAATGATAATTTTCTAATTGTTGTAGTTTTATACCAGTTAATCATAGATCTCTTGACATTGTCAAATTTTATGCATCCTTCTAAAATCTTAGGTAACAAAATGAGTTTGTTTTATTTATTGTAGTTTCGTACTATATTTATTTGTGTTGTTTTCCATTTATTTTAATTATATTTTATTTATTAAATTTTAAATCTAATTTATTGTGTGATTTAGAAATAAAGAAGAATACACCTATTAATCATAGGTCTCTGGATGCTGTGAAATTTTGAATACCATTTTAAAATTTTAGGTAACAAAATGTGTTTCTTTAATTTATTATAGTTTGGTACTATATCTATTTGTGTCGTTTTCCATTTAACCTCATTAAATTTTATTTATTAAATATATAAATTTAATTTATTGTGTGAATCATAAATAAAGAAGAACATCATTGGGCCTGAGTAATTGTGGTTGAGAAATTTGAATAATGATAAGCGTATTTTCTAATTATTGTGGTTTTATATCAGTTAATCATAGATCTCTTGATGCTGTCAAATTTTAAATACCCTTTTAAAGTGTTAAGTAACAAAATGAGTTTCTTTTACTATGTAGTTTAGTACTATATTTATTTGTGATGTTTGCCATTTAGCCTAATTATATTTTATTTATTAAATTTATAAATCTAATTTATTATGTAGATTATAAATAAAGAAGAATATCATTTGGCTTGATTAATTGTGGTTGAGCAGTTTGAATAATGATAATAGTATTTTTTAATAGGTGTGGTTTGTATAGAGCCTAGGCTCTAAACAATTAGATTAGAGCCTACTTTCAAATAGTGTCGAGGAATGTGGTGTCAATAGCAGAAATTTTTTTGATAGCCTTAAGCTATATTTTTCATATTTATTTATAAAGTTTAAAGCTTCAAATTAGTGTAGATAGAGAAATCTATGAAAACTTGAAAATCTTGAAATTTGAAGGTCCAAAAAAAATGCTACAAAGTATACTATTTCCTAAACTTGAAATCCATTGTTTTCTCATGTCCATGCATCTTGAAGACGAAATGATTAATTTGAGGATATTTGGGCATCAAAACAACCTCTTCTAGTGAAAGTTTTTGAGGTAGGCTCTAATTTGATTGTTTAGATCCTCGGCTCTATATTAACTTTTCCCTTTTCTAATTGTTGTGTTTATTTTCATAATTATATTATTGTATACGATGATGACAATTATATATTTTAATTAATTGATTAACAAAATATCATTTGGCTTGCATAATTGTGGTTGAGTAATTTGAATAATGATAATTGTATCTTCTAATTGTTGTGGTTATTTTCATAACTCATAGTGTTGTATACAATAATGACAATTATATATTTTAATTAATTGATTAGCATAATAATAATTTAATAATAATTAATTATAATAATATAATGACAATTGCATACATAATGTACTAGCATCGTTTATTACAAAATATATATATTCAAAATATAGGGAAAATTTCATACGGACTTCTAATTCCCCATCTTATTTCACGATAGACTTTCTTTTTATTTTTCTTTCAACGGCATAAAAAATCCCTCAAGTATTTCACCATACTCCTTCATTTCTTCTCTCCCATGTTAATTCAC